ATGTGACTTTATTTCTAAATGCCAGATTTGCTTATTCTTCCTTTTCCCTACTTACCCATTTCCTGTTGTTATCCTTGACATGACATTTGGAATTGATACAGAAAAGAGAATTAAATCAGGACTCAGTAAAGTAAGCCTGTGACACATTCATTTATTACATGATGCAAATGTTTTGCTTTGCGGTTTTAACATTTTCCTTTTCTTTAGCAAGGAGTTTTATGGTTACTGTTTACAGATTTTACATTTATGCATACAATGTAATTATACAGTTCAGTTACATTGTAGACATTTGTTTTTTATTTCACTGTGGCAGTGTTGGCTGTGTGTGTGTGTGTGTAGGAAGTGTGGTTGTAAGAAATAGAGAGCTCTTGAAAATTATAATACTGAATACTTTATCCATCTTCTCTATGGAAACTAGTTCAGGAAGCAAATTATAAGACTATTCAAAACAGAATTATTTTGCCTAACTTCTATGTATTTGACCACTGCCTTCTGTGCTTTAAACCTTACTAGATGTTCTCTCTGGGGATGGTTTTCCTTATGATCCACAGGAGATCCCCCTGAAATCATTTACTGGATGTTGCAGTCCCTTCCACAATCCCCACTGCGCTAAGTGGCAACTGATCTGGGAGCTGTCATGTTTAGGAAATACCATGATGCCGTGAGTTAATTTCATACCTGTCATGAGATCTTGGATGAGGTCCCAGGGGGCCTTTCAGTGTGTCGCAGGACTGCAAGCCGTTCACTAGACCTAACGAACAGAGCATTTACTTGCAGAGGTATAGACACAGTTATTTAATAAAGGTAGTATTTTATGAAGTTCTTAATGACAGCCTGCAAGTCTCAGAAAGTAATGTTTTAGTATCTGAACTCCATCAGTATAGGCACAAAACAAGAAATGCCACTATTTCGTGTCTTGTGGAAGAGAAGTCCAGGAAGATTGGGTTCCAAATATGAGTTTTCCCCTGACTTCCAAATGGTTTCAAGCAACTTGAGATCCCTTTGATTTCTCTATATATTCCTCATTCCCAGATCTTAGTGGGACATGCATAAAATGAACCTATAGAATAACAACATTGATAATTATGACATATCAGAGAAAAATAGATTAATTATGTTTAGCTTTTAGGTTCTTATCAATTTATCAGTTACTTTTAAGGAAAAGGACAGAGAAAAAAATAGCTAACCCCTTACCTATAGCTTTCTACCTCAGTGAAACAGGAATAAATATTTACAAACTCTTTTTCAATAGAAAAACTATATGGCTCTTCACATGGCCACACTATTTTTTATCTTTTTATATATCTTTTTATGTATCTAGCTTCTTAAAATGTATATTGTAATTGAGGGGGAACTGTTTTCTTGATTAATTTGAATGTGTCTTAGAGTCTGTGAGTTTTAATATTTGAATATAATAAAGAACGAAGATAAATGTAGTCACCTTTTTTTCCTTTTTCCATTATTTCTAAGGACTAAATGGCATTGTTCTTCTCCAGTCTGAACTGGTTCCTCTGAATTCTGGAGTAATTCTTTTTCCTGGCATTTCTTAAATGCTCTTTATTATTCAGTGAATTCTTTTCGGAAGTCTAAATGTTAGTCCTTGTTGTATAGTATTAGAAATTGATGGCTGCTCTTCTCAAAGAATGGTAGAGTTGGAGTGATTGAAGGAGCAAAGCAAACAGCTGAGCTAAAACAATGGCATCATGGGAAGGTGGCCCTGGAAACAAAGACAGAGAGGGCAGCAGTTGTGAAACGCTCCGAAGTAGAGGCTGGGGATTTAAAGGCTGCTTAGGCTTGATTAATAGATGCTGTAAAAACAAAATGCTGAGCCAAGGAAAAAAAAAATTGCACTTGAAAGTCCCTTGAAAATGTGCTAATGCCTTTCCTTTACTTGGCAAGCATTTTTTTCATACTGAGTATAAAATGAGTGCATGAAAATATACATGTTTTTTTCCATATTATCCAGTGTTTTTTCTTTTTTTTTTAACTGTTGATTATGGTTATGTTGGAATAAATCAGGTTGCCACTAGACAAAAAGAAAAAAAAAGTTTATACAAATACTCTGTTGGTCCCATGGAATATCTTCACTAAGTCCAGATCAAGATAAAATGTAAAAATAAGGCACATGTTTAAAATGTTATTGGTAGGCTGGCTATATTTGTTTTAATGTCAGTCACAGAATGCAATCTGTGCCTAAAAGAATGAGGTTTTGCTGGGCTTTTTCAGGAGACTGTGGTGTTGAAAAGGATGGTACTTCAACCATTTTCCAAAAAAAAAAAAAAAAAGCCAAGAAAACTGAAAATCAGTCTTCTTTAAAGAAATATAAAATAATCTGTGGGAAATTATTTTGTTACTCGCAGCAAACTGAGGATCTACAAAATAAATTAGATAAGAATTCAAATTCTGACACATTTTTATTACTGGCAAAGCTGATTCCCAATGGCTTCTGGTATTTTTATCTGTGAGCAGGATCCGAGAAAGACAAGCCGAATGGATTCAAGGCAGGCATTTAAGAATGGGCCTCAGAGGCAAGAGCCTGGAGGATCCTCCACTGTAAACCATCACCTTGACTACAGTCAACTAAATTGCTTTTTCTAGGAGGGGTCAGTGAAGGGTAAAGAGATGAACTAGAAGAACTTTTGTTGGTTGGATAGTTACTTTAATAAATACTCTTCTCTCATGGGTAATAGAATGGCGATCTTTCCTCCCTAGTTTTAGGAGTTAACTATTAGTAAGTGCTCCTGTCAACACGCACACACACCCACACTCACACACTCTCACACTCTTTCTATAAAAATGTTGACTAGAGAATTTTCTACTCCCACCCAACCCCCAAACATCTGACACTGTCCAGGGATGCTTTTGATTTTCATGACCTGGGGGAGGGTGAGCTACAGGATCCTCCTGGATAGAGGTCTGTGGTTTTCCTAAAGTTCCTACGGTACATAGGATATCTGCCCACAAAGAAAAAGTTTCTTAGCCGGAAATTTCAACAGTCATGCTGAGACACCTTCCAACCCTTTTAGGTAACTGCCTCCCTGGTAATTGTTCAGTATTTCAGAATTATTCCATTTTCCACTTCTACTCTCATAAATTGCCTGGGAGCTTGGGAATACATACCTCCGAGAGTGCAGAAGGAAGGGGTGCATATCCAGGTGTTCAGGCTGTGCTGTCTTCTGCTCCTTGCCTTCCCCAAGCCTTTCATTAGGATTTAATGCCAAAGTCACCCAGTCATGACCACCAGCCCAGCCACTTGTAAATTTTGAGGCTGGTAAAATTTTGATCAGGTTGGTTCTCCCATGACCACCAGGGCCCTGAAGCCCTCACTGAGGTCCCCCTCAGGTCTCCCTAGGCCTCTCTGAGTCTCAGCCACATCCTCTATACAGTTCATCCATGGAGCCCCATGATGGTTAATTTTTTGTGTCAATTTGTCAGTGCCGCAGTGCCCATATATTTGGTCAAACATTATTCTAGATGTTTTTGTGACAGTATTTTTGGATGAGATTAAATTGGTGGACTTTGAGTAATGCAGATCACTCTGTGTGGTGTGGGTGGGTCTTATCCAATCAGTGCAAGGCCTTACTAGAACAGTCTGACCTCCCCAGAGGAAGAAGGAAATATTCTAGCATACTTGGAATATTTCAACTTGGAATTGCCAGTCTTTCCTGATTCTCTAGCCTGCTAACCTATTCTGGAGATTTTGGATTTAACAAGCTCCAAAAAATTGTATGAGACAATACTTTAAAAGAAATCTCCCTCCCTCCCTTCATACATCCTGTTGATTCTGTTTGTCCAGAGAACTTTACTAACAAACATCTGCTCCATCTTGGTTTTTATTCAGCTATTCTTATGTGTCCTCACAGAAGTCTGTGGAAGCTTCTGGATCTCCAAGTTTTCTATTTCCTTACTGATCTGCTAATTTTATCCATTATCAAAATTGAGGTATTGAAGTCTCCAACTATTATGTCCAATCCTCTGTTTCTCCCTTCAATTCTGCCAGTTTTGCCTTGTGTATTTTAAGTACATTTATGCTTACAATTGTTGTATCTTCCTGAGTGATATAATTAAAATGACTTTTAATCATTACAACATGCCCCTCTTTTTTTTTAGTAAATTTTTTCTTAAGGTACATTTTGGCTAATTGTAGTATAGCCACCCGAGATTTGTTACAGTTACTATTTCCCAGGTATATTTTTTCTATCCTTTCACTTTCATCCTATAAACGTCTCTGAACCTAAAGTTCTTCACTTCAAGACAGCATGTAGATGGATCCATTTCTTTAAACTATTCTGGCAATCTGTGCTATTTAATTAGGGTATTCCAATGATTTACATTTAATGTAATTGCTGGAATGGTAGAAATGATAACTGACACTTTGCTATTTTTTTCTGTATGTCTATATTTTTATTTTTCTCCTCCATTACTGCCTTCTTTTGTGTTATTTTTAGTGCATCATTTTACTTTCTTTGTTCTCTTTTCTGTATTTAAAAAATTATTTTCTTACTGGTTGCCCTGAGGATTTTAATTAGCATCTTACCTTAAACAATGTAGTTCAGATTAACACTAACTTAATAGAATAGTATAAAAAATTTGCCACAATACATTCCCATTACTTTCTCTCTCCTGTGTGTTGTTATTGTCATACAAATTACATCTTTATACAATATAAACCCATCAATACAGTTTTATAAATTATTACTTTATGCATTATCTTTTAATTAGATAAAAGAAGGAATTATAAGAATAATTGACACTTGACACATGTATAATATTTTATGTATTTTCCTTACTGGTGCTTTTCATTTCTTTGTGTAGATCCTAATGTCCTTTAATTTCAGCTTAAAGAATTTGCTTTAATATTTCTTGTAGCACAGATACGCTATCAACAAATTCAGTTTTTATCTGGGAATATCTTAATTCCTTCCTAATTTTGAAACATAGTTTTGCTGGATATAGAATTCTTGGCTGCCTATCAGCACTTAGAATATGTCATCCCACTGAAGGATATGGAAGACTTCATAAACCTGCATGCCGTCCTTACACAGCAGCTGTGATACTCTTCTCTGTATCATTCTGATTTTACTATACGTGCTGCCAAAGCTCACACTCAGCATCCCTCCAGACTACAAGAGGAATGAGGGAGACTGGGGGAAAAAATCCTCTGCCCCTCTCATTATATAAATCTTGCCTTTGCCACTTTTGACCTAATTTATGGATCATGCTGTGTAGAATACAGCATCTCTCCAAGGAAACAAATGATTTTTATTTTCTGTCCAGGGATTTCAGTATGTACCTCGCTATTTTGGTATCTGCCTTTTTAAAAAAATTACAGCCTCTGCTCGAACTCTTACAGTTTTCTATTTCATCATGTACAGAACCATTAAATTAACATGGTTGAGACATGTCTCACTTGACACAGTGATTCTCATTTATAAGAAACATATGCCTTTCATTTGAAGAAGAAGGTATCATTGTATTTCTTCATGGGGCACTTAAGTAAAAGCTGGTGATCTGTACTCACTTATAGGTGTTCTATTCACAAATATCATTAGCATTTAGTATTGAAATTATCATAGAATCTTTCCCCATAGTTCATGTGTTATCTTTTTATGTAGTTCAATATGTTAATATCAAAAAGAACAAATTCTGTGGAGACATGATTAGATGATAGCAAGAGTATCAGTTTCCTACAATAATCAATCACATATGATGTAATAAAATAGTCCCACACTATTGGGACTGCTATATTTCCATTTTTGTATGCATATATCTACCTATGGAGTATTCATTCTTACATCCATCCATCCATCCTGCCCTCTATCTGTCAGTCTAGCTAGCCAACCATCTATTAGTCAGTCTGTAATCCATCTATAGCATGTCTTTTTCTTCATAGGAATTCAGTGCTAGTATGACAACTTATGGTCATTGTGTAATAAAAATCTATTAAATTCATATGAAGAATAGAGAATAGTATAAAGCATTAGCATTATTGAAATTTTGGGCAAGGAAAATTCTTTTTTGTAGGGGACTATCCTGTGCAATATTAGAAGCTTAGCAGCCATGTCCCTGGCCTCCCAGTTGTAACAGCCAGAAAACAATTCCAGACATAGTGAAATATCCCATAGAGAACAAATTCCTTCCTCCTCCCACCCAGTTGAGAACTACTGATAAATTGCATTTGTTCCTTCTTTTATCATAATATGCATTCTCCTTAAAATCAATATTTAGCAGTGACTTATGGGGATACTTATTGGATGAATTAAGGTATTCACATATGTGTTTTCTTAGGTATTTACTTTTTCACTCATTGATTCATCCACGCACATATCATTCAACATACATTTATTATGTACCTATTGCACAAGTATTTTGCTAGAAATTGGGATACATTAGTGAAATACAAGTCTTTGCCCTTGTGGGGCTTACCAACTTTGGGTAGAACCAGGAGAAAATGAACAGGTAACTAAACAAAAGATATCTCTAAATGTTCTGTTGATAATGAAGTAGGTAGTTATGGGGTGACTGGGGTTACTTTAGATTAGTGGACCGGGGAGACTCTGAGGTAACATTTAAAATGAGAGCTAAGTAGTAAGAGAACATCAAAGCAAAGATGTGAATAGAATATTCATACATGTTGACTTATTTCTTATGGCACAGAAAGTTTATGTTAGGGGTGTAAAGATGGTCATTTGGTGGCCTTATATACATATAAGTAATGTATAACTTACCTACTTATACATGTGAATGACACTGGAGTGTTTGTGTGGAGATCAGGAACTATTACAAATAAATGGAAAAGTCTGTCTAATTTTTTAATGAGAGCATATAGCCCTACCAATGTAAACGTATTCACTCCTGTGATAATGCCATGAAGAAGAGACCACTAGAAAGCCAGTGTGAGCTATGCAGCAAAATATCCTAGGTGACAAGATCTAGAAATTTTTCAGAGAACACACAAATATCATTTCTAGCTTCATTAGATTATATATCAATGAGGAGATGGGAGTGACCACAGAAAACTGCTCAAAGGAAAATCCTGGCCTCATGTATTTAAAATAAAGCAGAGAAATAATATTTATTTATCCTGAGAATGGCTTCTCTCTCCAACCTCATTAAATCCAAAGACATTCAGCAGACCTCCCTGATTTTTCTTTAGTTTGAATTGAACTAAGATACCCATTTTAAGGCAGGCATAACTATGAATCATCTGGCTTATATTTTGGATAATTATATATAGTTGTGGTAATAGAAAAAAAAGATAAACTTCAAAGTATGAGGATCCATTTATAATTCCATTGGTAGTGGTAATTAAGTATAAAATATCTCAATCTAATCTGCTCTATCATTCTTTGACTAATCACAATAATATAGTTTGATTTTTATGCTCATGGATGTCCCCTTCACAAGTAGAAATCCTAGATAAACCATTTGGCATATTCTTGCCCTTTAAAAGCAGGTTTATCTCCTGGAAGTAAAAGGCTGTTTATAAGCATGATTGAAATATTAATTACAATACTTGGTACATTATCATATCTTCCCCTTTTATGCTAGATGCAGGATTATGTCAAAACTGGAGCTTCAAGTCAGGCATTTCGATGAAATGCAGAATTCTGTAAAGGAAAGAGATGAGTTAAAATAGTTCTGATTTGAGAAAGCCCAATGTCATTACAGCTGGAGAACTTAGGCATTTTAATGAAATGTGATGAAGTCCCTTCCACCAGTTTCTCTACAAATATCATTGGCATTTAAACATAGTGTCACCAAAGAAGGCAAAGTATATTTTTAGACTGCAATTAAATAATTGAGTACAAAATTTGGTACAGCCAGGGGGAACATGATCAGATGAATAAAGGGAGTCAGAGAAGGTAATCGTTTCAATGCTTTCCTTAATTTTGCTTTCTAAAATGGTAGTTGAAAATCACAGCCCCACACCTAGTTGTGCTCTGGAGTACGAGCCCAACCCCTCTGCCTCTGTGTATCTCAGACAACATACTTATACTCTACCTCAGTTTACTCAACTATAAAACGAGTATAGTAACACCTCTGATCTTAAAGGGTTATTGTGAGGACTAAAGAAGATACTGTGCATAACATTTTTGAAATATAGCCAATGCTTGATAAGTAATAGCTTTATTATTAGCAAGGTTTATTGCCTCCAGCAGTGACTTTAAAAAAACAATAACAACAGAAGCACCATGATTTTTCTTTGTTCCTGTGGTCATTGCTAATTTTGAACAAATTATGACTCCACATTGGTTCTTAAGAGACAGAAAAAAAAAATAGTTGCATGAGAGGCAGAAGCATTCCTATTGTTTTCCCTATTGTGATTCTCTCTGGCAGTATTTTTCCATTCCACTTTCACAATTGAGTATAGTTATAATAATGAACAAAATTCATAGTGAGCATAATTCATAAGGTTCCTTTACCCGATTTTCATTATTCTGGTTTCAAGTTAGATCTTCCCTTCTTGGAAGGCCTCATTTAACCACTTGTCTAAGATGTCCATGCCCACCTGATTCTCAAATACAGCACCCAGTCTGATTTCTGCATGGCACTTGCCTCAGTCACTAATGTCTTCATTTGTCTTTTCCCTTTACAGTTATCAGAATGCAAATTCTAATAGGTCAGGGATGAAGCCGAGTTCATCTGTCTTGTTTCTCGTTCTGTCCCTGGTCACTAATGCTGCGCCAGGCTAGCACATGAAGACTCAGCATATATTAGATATTGATGATCTTTTCCTTCAAACCATCTAATTCTCACCTTCTCTCGCATAAGCTTGTGGGAGACACTCAAGGCATATGGCCTTGTAGGTGTGCGTTGCAATGGAAGATGTGCTTTGGGGACAATGAGGGAGACGTCTCAAAAAGTCTTAGAATCAATCCTAAAAAATTTTCATCTACAGAAATTATAAATGTCAATCTTTAATTTAATTAACTCTTTGAATTATATTTACAACACATGACACTAATTGGATTTAATAAGAAAGTGTTTAATTTATTGCTAACACCCTATTTATTAGAATGTGCCTCCAAGTACCAGATATACCAAAACACAAAACAAAACAAAACATTTTTATTCTGGTAGTACTTAGATACACTTTCTACTGGTGTCCTTTACCTAGCTTTATTTTAGTAGTATTCTGACTGAATTATGTCCTCCTCAGAATACAGGACCAAACAAAGCTGAATTAAGATGATCAAGGCAATACACTTAGAATATAGTTAAGTGTATTTTCCACCCGAAAGTTGGTTATACTTTAAGATTAAACTTTCATTTTCCATTAGAGGGTGTTGGTTAATCTAGTATCTCTTCTCCTTACCTCTTAGCATCATAAGAAATTCTTGCAGATTTCAGGTGACAAACATATTCACATACACATATACAATGTACTTACACACACAAGTTTACTAATATGGCCATAAGGTATTTAGCAATTGGTTACAGTTTGCTGTTAATGAGGTCAAGGTTATAGACTTACTGTTCCTCTGAGTCTATTTTTTGGCCCAGTCCCATCACCCCCGATTTTATTTGACCCCTGGACTGCTCTCTCACAAATGCTGTCTGACTGGAGGAGGCCATGCGGGAGGACGTGAGTGGTCACCTCCCTACCCCACGCTCCACTGGTTGGAGTTCTCAGCATTTTCTAACAAACTACGTGTGGGGTGTTTTCCATCTTTACATTCTCTATATGTCAGGCTTTGTCCACAGGGATGGACATTAAAGACAGTTTAAATTAACAGGACCAGAAACACCATCTTTATATAGAGAAACAGCTTATTGAACAGTGCTTGAGACAAGATTAACTGTGAAATTGATAAGTATTTTAGAATACTTAGGTTTTCCTATTCCATTCTTCTGAAAACCTTTAATCAGTATCTCTCCCATTGGGAAACCAAATAAATGACACTGTGAAGTGTGATCTGGGGGCAAATGTGTGAACGAGGAGCCTAGAATTAAAGTAATAAAATGTCTTTGTATCATTTATTTTGCCTTAATATCTTGGTCATACTTGTTAGAAAAATACAGTTTGCTATTGAAAAGGGTGGAACAAATGTGGAACAAATGTTTATATAATGTTTTGGGATTAAAAATGCTCTTGCAGA